GCAGATGCATGTGGAGTTGTGAGTGGTAGTGTATGAGGTTATGAATGTATGAAAGTATGGTTTAAGAAGGGTTTCTAAGGAGAAATTTTTGTTGGTTGTTTCAAGGAGAGTAATGTATTATGTTGGGACTCAACATTTGAAGTTATCCTGACACTCTAATAATCACTCCATCTCAAACAGGGGAGGAGATTATGTAATGAGGAGTAGCAGAAGGTTCTAGTCTATAGTTTGATTTTCTTTGTCATAGATGAGTGACATATTAATTTTGTGTAATAGCTTGAGGACAATTATTTTACCACTATAAATATACAACTTGCCATAGTCTAACATCAATACATATATCTGAAAATAAAATCTAAAGACTTTTTTTTATGTTTATATTTGATTTAAAAATGAATTATGTTATATGAAATTTTATAATTCCATTTAATATTACTTCTTCTATAACTTATCATATTTTTTTAATATTATTTCTGTATAATTATATATATATATATATATATATATATGTATATTGAATTATTGTTTTTATATATTTGAATTAATTACTCATAAAAGTAATAAAATTATACATACTTGAATGGAGTAGAAAGGTAAGATGCATGTGTAGTTTGGCACGTTTAAAGACGGGTGGTTGTAAAGTATGGTTGTATGATGCCACATGTCCTTGAAAGCGAAACTTTCACAGCACGCAAGCACATTTTATTACAATCCTGAATTTGGGTTTCGCAGAACAAAGTGTGGGAAAGAAAATGGGACACTGTAACCGCTGCTTCTTCACGCTGTGCCCTCTTCTCCTTCTTCTGCTGCTTCCTTCTCCCTCCGGCGCGGATCTCCAATTTGATTTTCCGGCGAAGATCAGAGACCTTAACCTTTTCCCTTCACAAGATGTCAACATCGTTCGCCACCCTAATTCTCACGCCAACAAACTCGTCGAGAAACCCCTCAGATTCCCAAACTTGTTGACTCTACAGTCTGGCGTTTCACTCGACAATTTGGCTCATTCCGCTGGTTACTATCCTATTGCCCATTCTAATGCAGCCAGGTTTGCTTTTTTTTTTTTAAATAAAAAATTGATTGAATGTATATGTTTTCACTGTACCTTACGTGCATGTTGAGTTAAATGGTAAAACCCCAGTTTATTGTTGATAGTATCATTTGTTGTTTAACCTTATTTTTCTTTTCAGGAAAACAAAACAAGAAAAACATTAACCCTTTTAGTTATGGTTACGTTTGTCTAAACGACTTATTTAATACGCGAAAAACAAGTTTGTTATATAGGTTAGCTTTAGCCTGTGGAGAAAACTTAATTCATTTTACCTCGAGAACTTGTAGATAAGTTTTTAGTTGTTTCCATATAAGTTCTAATTAGTTTCATGAGCTATTCTGGAGAGCTTATTAAATTAATTTTGGAACATAATTCTAAACTATTTTTTAGAGCACTTTATATTAGGATGAAGAGGGGAAAAGAAAATGGTTGAATTAAATATTCTTAATTCTTTTATGTCGGTGAAATATGATTGTTCCGGGGAAAATGCTGCAAATCCTTGGTATGCATTTATTATTTATTTTTGGGTTTGGGTTGAATGGTGCAGGATGTTCTACTTTTTCTTTGAATCACGGAACAGCAAGAAGGATCCTGTTGTGATTTGGTTGACTGGGGGACCTGGTTGTAGCAGTGAATTGGCTTTGTTTTATGAAAATGGCCCTTTTAAGATTGCTGACAATATGTCCCTTGTGTGGAATGATTATGGTTGGGACAAGGTAATACTCATATCATTTGTTGCCTTTCAACTGCGCCTTTCCTACGTTCCTATGATTATCTTGTATGAGGTCTTGATAAATTGCCTGGTGACCTTTCAGGTGTCCAATCTTCTCTATGTTGACCAACCAACTGGAACTGGCTTTAGTTACAGTACGGACAACCGTGACATTCGTCATGATGAAGTAGGAGTGAGCAATGACTTGTATGACTTTTTACAGGTACTTGTGTTAGCTCAAAACACTCGTTATACAACATTAATGCAGTGTCTACTTATTTGGTTGCCTGACTTGTATTTATTGTTTCTTTTCTGGAACAGAAACTGTATCTCCTATGTTTTTATTCTCTAGCATTTCTTAATGGCTCTTCTTAGAAGACCAAAACTAAGCAATGTGTCGTTATCTTGAATTTTGATTTAAACACCTCGCTTAGCTTCATCAGCAATGTCTTGTCTTAGCAAAGTTTTCTGTTTATCCTACAGGCTTTCTTTGCTGAACATCCTGAGTATGCAGAGAATGACTTTTTCATTACCGGTGAATCATATGCTGGACATTATATTCCAGCTTTTGCAGCCCGAGTCCATAGGGGAAACAAAGTTAAAGAAGGGATTCATATAAACCTAAAGGTCTGTTACATTGATATGTGAGCTATTCTTCTTAAGTTTTAGATATACGATGAAAGGTGAGTAGACTTGCTTGGCTAACTGGAAGTGGTTAAACAGGGATTTGCCATTGGTAATGGGCTTACTGATCCGGCGATTCAGTATAAAGCATACACAGATTATGCACTGGACATGGGCATAATTCGGAAGACTGACTATGATCGCATCAACAAATTGATGGTCCCAGCCTGCGAATTGGCAATAAAACTATGTGGTAATTCACATGTGATTTTGTTGCATGCTCTGCTTTCACTGGATTTTGTGTTTCTTATATTTTGTAATTAGAAGCTAAGGCTATAATTGAATTAAACAGAGAGAAATGCCATAAATATTCATGTATTTATTTTAACGAATACTAAAGACTTCCGTAAATCAGTTATATAAAATTGTGCTTTAGAATTGTGTATTGTCCACAGCTTATCCTACAATACTGTAAACTGGATAATCATATCATTTTCAGAAGTATGTAATAACTATCTTGACAATAAATGCATTACTTTTTTCCAAAATCACCTAGTGGGATAAAGGCTTTGTTGTTGTTTGTTTAAGTGCATACTACTTTTTTATTATGAATTATTAGAAGGAAGTTCTCCAATCATATTTAGAGTTTCACGTTAATAATATGCAATGGATTAATGGGAGACCAACAGCCACAGTACTCATGTCACTTTATGTGATTTTATCCTTGTATGAAATACTTTTAAAATTCAACATATAATAATATTTTCGTGGATTTTAACTTTCAGCAATCATGTGGCATTTAAGCAAGTTTCATAATCCTGATCAATGAACCAAGAATTAAGTGGTTCTCACTTGCTTAAAAAATCCTTTCAGGTACTGATGGAACAATTGCGTGCATGGCTTCATATTTTGTTTGTAATACAATATTCAATTCCATCGTGTCACATGCTGACAATATCAATGTGGGTAACAAAGTTGCTTCCTCTTCTGCGAGTTTTAGATGTTTTTAGTACCTTAGTTTACTTGTTTGCGGAATATAATTAACTCTACTGAATTACTTGGGAGGCCATTAAGCATGAAGCATGGTCAAAATACCGGCTTTTTTGTTGATAGGTATTCTGATACCATGTTAATATATCTCTCAATCTACAAAGTCTGTTGTCAAGTTCGAAGGGAAGATGTATTTTGATTTTCTTGAGCGAATTTCATAAGTTTTTCTTGTGTTGCAGTATTATGACATCAGGAAGAAGTGTGAGGGGAGCCTCTGCTATGATTTTTCGAACTTGGAAAAATTCTTGAGCATAAAATCTGTTCGGGATGCACTAGGAGTTGGAGATATTTCTTTTGTGTCTTGTAGTTCCACAGTTTATCAGGCTATGCTAGTGGATTGGATGAGGAATCTTGAAGTTGGTATTCCTTGCCTTCTTGAGGAAGGAATCAATATGCTTGTGTACGCTGGGGAATATGATCTCATCTGCAACTGGCTTGGTAAGTGCTTGTGCCTTTAAAATTTCGTACATTAGAGTTTTCAATGCAATGTGTAATGTTCTTTTTCCTTGTGGTATGAATTCAATGATTAGGTAATTCAAAATGGGTTCATGCGATGGAGTGGTCAGGGCAGAAAGAATTCGTGTCCTCACCCGAAGTTCCTTTCACAGTTGATGACTCTGAAGCTGGACTATTGAAGACCTATGGACCATTAAGTTTCCTAAAGGTATGTATCTCTCTTCCCCACCTCCAACCCCCTACACGCACAAAATGATTACTCACTTTGATATTTTACAGGTTCATGATGCTGGTCACATGGTGCCGATGGATCAGCCAAAGGCTGCTTTAGAAATGCTCAAGAGGTGGACTCAGGGAACACTTAAAGAATCTGGAGATGATGCTGACAAATTGGTTGCAGAGATGTAATCACTACTTATGTTGTAATTAGTTCTACAAAAATATGATGCAATAATGAGAGTGAATCAAGGCCGTGCGATGTAAAATGTTGAGATCTAAACGGTTTACACTTCAAACTTCATATCCGTGGGATTTTCAGTGCTTACACATTGCCGAGTGGCACACGGATCCAATCCATTGCAAAACTTTCATTTCTTTTATATGATGAAATTATTATATATTTAAAGAAAAGACTAAGATTTCATCCAGTTTTGGGAAACTGAATCTAGTTCTCAAACATTCATCGGGAATTATAAAAAAATGAAATTCAATGCTTGAATAATATAATTTTACTTTCAATTTATAAAAGTTTTCGTGCTGTATATAATTTACACGAATTTTAGGTACTTGTTCAAGTAAGTAAATATGGGAATATATGTAAATTGAATAATTGAGAGAAACTAGTATCAATTTGAATTATAAATCTATTTGGTTTAGCTGATTAAACAGTGAGTTATTCATTATAATAGATTAATTAAAAAGAAATCAAACATAAGAGGAAGAGTTATTCTTTTAATTATTCTTGGAATAATTTTATTATCTTTATAACTAATATATTAAATTAAATTTAATAAAAATTAAATTAAATTATTGCAATTAGAAATTAATTTAAATATATCAATAATTTCTTATTATTTTGAGTATATATATATATATATTTGTTATCATCAGCTGTGTGTGTAAGAGTCATAGTGGAAGAAATTGGAAAGTAGTGAGGAAAATCATGTCATCTGCTACTTCCATTGGATTATCAGCAAATTCGTGGTTGCGCTATCACGTATCAATGCCTCCTTCATGTTTTCCAGTTTCAGTGTCTTATTCTTCTTCTTCAAACTCTTCTAAGTTCTGCCATTATATTCGGAGAGCATCCTATGAAGGTAAAATTTACAATCTTATCACTGTCTTCTCTAATACCCAATTGGGGCATTGTGCAGTTCTTCAAATCAACACTCCTACCCACCAGTGATGTTAAATTTTTGTTTTTTCTTTCTATATCGCGTAGTATAGATTTGGACTTCGAGCTTCCGAGCTTACTTATGTAACTTCTATATTGAGGGGAAAAAATTATTTTATTCAGAGGGCGCTACGAACTACAAGTCTTTTATATAATGTTTTTCTATCGTGCAGGTCTTCCTAATGAGGTGGTTGAGGACTCCAAATTCGTTCCTTTGAATGCAGAGGATCCTATATATGGTCCACCTGTAAGTCATGGTTAGTTTTGAATAACATGTTTTCAATCACTTATTATAACTTTTCACGTCACTGCCACGATAAAATAATTTTCAACATACACACTCATAAAAAATGCCTAGTAACGAACTTTTCATTGAAATCAAAAGTTATCTTCTAGTGTCTCTGATAAGCCTTGATTCCTATTTATTTGGCTTTGGCTTAGAAAATTTTAATCGAGTGAGTTTTGTGTATGTTCTTTTCACTCTATCTTGACTTGGGTCAGAACTTTGTAATCTGACTCTGACTTTATATTTAGTCAAACCCACGTTTCTTTTGTTCTGCAGGCCTTATTGTTGTTGGGCTTTGAAGCAGATGAAGCTTTGAAGGTAGATTCATGTCTTGAAATATATACGATGCCTTCTGTTTCTTTTACTTTCTATCTCTTTACTTAAGTGGCCATTCAGTGTACTTGAATTTCTAATCAACCTTTGCTCTGGTTATTGTTTGTGCTTTCAATTTGATGATCCAAAATATCATCGATGAGTAACTTTTATTGATATTGTTGCCACTGTTGAAAATCCTGTATATACCTTGTAATGTATCATTAATTTATCAGCTGTCAGTAAATTACTATAGTAACATAGCCAATCAGCTTACGATGATTATACAGTCATATGTTACTTTAGATATATTTGCATTAATGTCATTTAATAGTATAATGTCCATCTTGATATTGAGCAGATCCAACAGCTTTTAAAAGAGTTAGATGGTGAATTCCTCAAGGTAACATCTCATTTCTTCTCTTTCATGGCCATTTTTTTTTAAACCAAAATCAATGGGGTAAATATTCTGGAAGAAAATGAAGAGGGGAAGGGGGCGGGGTTGATTATTTTATTATTGTTTCCACCAGACTATCCTGCTGTAGACTAAAAGATCATTCTTTCTAATGAGTAATTTCTTGACACAACAAATCTACAAAATGGACGGATAATATAACTGGCTGCTCTTGTAAAAGTCAAATAGTTTTCAGCCTTTTGTTGATGGGAATGTTGTGGATCAATAGTTAGTAAAAGATGAATTTTTGATAAACAAAGGACCATTTTGATCAGAAGGCAAAATTTTCATACATATGCAGAATAACTAGCTTGTGCTCGACCTGATACCGAATAGTTTTATAANTTTCCTATGATTATCTTGTATGAGGTCTTGATAAATTGCCTGGTGACCTTTCAGGTGTCCAATCTTCTCTATGTTGACCAACCAACTGGAACTGGCTTTAGTTACAGTACGGACAACCGTGACATTCGTCATGATGAAGTAGGAGTGAGCAATGACTTGTATGACTTTTTACAGGTACTTGTGTTAGCTCAAAACACTCGTTATACAACATTAATGCAGTGTCTACTTATTTGGTTGCCTGACTTGTATTTATTGTTTCTTTTCTGGAACAGAAACTGTATCTCCTATGTTTTTATTCTCTAGCATTTCTTAATGGCTCTTCTTAGAAGACCAAAACTAAGCAATGTGTCGTTATCTTGAATTTTGATTTAAACACCTCGCTTAGCTTCATCAGCAATGTCTTGTCTTAGCAAAGTTTTCTGTTTATCCTACAGGCTTTCTTTGCTGAACATCCTGAGTATGCAGAGAATGACTTTTTCATTACCGGTGAATCATATGCTGGACATTATATTCCAGCTTTTGCAGCTCGAGTCCATAGGGGAAACAAAGTTAAAGAAGGGATTCATATAAACCTAAAGGTCTGTTACATTGATATGTGAGCTATTCTTCTTAAGTTTTAGATATACGATGAAAGGTGAGTAGACTTGCTTGGCTAACTGGAAGTGGTTAAACAGGGATTTGCCATTGGTAATGGGCTTACTGATCCGGCGATTCAGTATAAAGCATACACAGATTATGCACTGGACATGGGCATAATTCTGAAGACTGACTATGATCGCATCAACAAATTGATGGTCCCAGCCTGCGAATTGGCAATAAAATTATGTGGTAATTCACATGTGATTTTGTTGCATGCTCTGCTTTCACTGGATTTTGTGTTTCTTATATTTTGTAATTAGAAGCTAAGGCTATAATTGAATTAAACAGAGAGAAATGCCATAAATATTCATGTATTTATTTTAACGAATACTAAAGACTTCCGTAAATCAGTTATATAAAATTGTGCTTTAGAATTGTGTATTGTCCACAGCTTATCCTACAATACTGTAAACTGGATAATCATATCATTTTCAGAAGTATGTAATAACTATCTTGACAATAAATGCATTACTTTTTTCCAAAATCACCTAGTGGGATAAAGGCTTTGTTGTTGTTTGTTTAAGTGCATACTACTTTTTTATTATGAATTATTAGAAGGAAGTTCTCCAATCATATTTAGAGTTTCACGTTAATAATATGCAATGGATTAATGGGAGACCAACAGCCACAGTACTCATGTCACTTTATGTGATTTTATCCTTGTATGAAATACTTTTAAAATTCAACATATAATAATATTTTCGTGGATTTTAACTTTCAGCAATCATGTGGCATTTAAGCAAGTTTCATAATCCTGATCAATGAACCAAGAATTAAGTGGTTCTCACTTGCTTAAAAAATCCTTTCAGGTACTGATGGAACAATTGCGTGCATGGCTTCATATTTTGTTTGTAATACAATATTCAATTCCATCGTGTCACATGCTGACAATATCAATGTGGGTAACAAAGTTGCTTCCTCTTCTGCGAGTTTTAGATGTTTTTAGTACCTTAGTTTACTTGTTTGCGGAATATAATTAACTCTACTGAATTACTTGGGAGGTCATTAAGCATGAAGCATGGTCAAAATACCGGCTTTTTTGTTGATAGTTATTCTGATACCATGTTAATATATCTCTCAATCTACAAAGTCTGTTGTCAAGTTCGAAGGGAAGATGTATTTTGATTTTCTTGAGCGAATTTCATAAGTTTTTCTTGTGTTGCAGTATTATGACATCAGGAAGAAGTGTGAGGGGAGCCTCTGCTATGATTTTTCGAACTTGGAAAAATTCTTTAGCATAAAATCTGTTCGGGATGCACTAGGAGTTGGAGATATTTCTTTTGTGTCTTGTAGTTCCACAGTTTATCAGGCTATGCTAGTGGATTGGATGAGGAATCTTGAAGTTGGTATTCCTTGCCTTCTTGAGGAAGGAATCAATATGCTTGTGTACGCTGGGGAATATGATCTCATCTGCAACTGGCTTGGTAAGTGCTTGTGCCTTTAAAATTTCGTACATTAGAGTTTTCAATGCAATGTGTAATGTTCTTTTTCCTTGTGGTATGAATTCAATGATTAGGTAATTCAAAATGGGTTCATGCGATGGAGTGGTCAGGGCAGAAAGAATTCGTGTCCTCACCCGAAGTTCCTTTCACAGTTGATGACTCTGAAGCTGGACTATTGAAGACCTATGGACCATTAAGTTTCCTAAAGGTATGTATCTCTCTTCCCCACCTCCAACCCCCTACACGCACAAAATGATTACTCACTTTGATATTTTACAGGTTCATGATGCTGGTCACATGGTGCCGATGGATCAGCCAAAGGCTGCTTTAGAAATGCTCAAGAGGTGGACTCAGGGAACACTTACAGAATCTGGAGATGATGCTGACAAATTGGTTGCAGAGATGTAATCACTACTTATGTTGTAATTAGTTCTACAAAAATATGATGCAATAATGAGAGTGAATCAAGGCCGTGCGATGTAAAATGTTGAGATCTAAACGGTTTACACTTCAAACTTCATATCCGTGGGATTTTCAGTGCTTACACATTGCCGAGTGGCACACGGATCCAATCCATTGCAAAACTTTCATTTCTTTTATATGATGAAATTATTATATATTTAAAGAAAAGACTAAGATTTCATCCAGTTTTGGGAAACTGAATCTAGTTCTCAAACATTCATCGGGAATTATAAAAAAATGAAATTCAATGCTTGAATAATATAATTTTACTTTCAATTTATAAAAGTTTTCGTGCTGTATATAATTTACACGAATTTTAGGTACTTGTTCAAGTAAGTAAATATGGGAATATATGTAAATTGAATAATTGAGAGAAACTAGTATCAATTTGAATTATAAATCTATTTGGTTTAGCTGATTAAACAGTGAGTTATTCATTATAATAGATTAATTAAAAAGAAATCAAACATAAGAGGAAGAGTTATTCTTTTAATTATTCTTGGAATAATTTTATTATCTTTATAACTAATATATTAAATTAAATTTAATAAAAATTAAATTAAATTATTGCAATTAGAAATTAATTTAAATATATCAATAATTTCTTATTATTTTGAGTATATATATATATATATTTGTTATCATCAGCTGTGTGTGTAAGAGTCATAGTGGAAGAAATTGGAAAGTAGTGAGGAAAATCATGTCATCTGCTACTTCCATTGGATTATCAGCAAATTCGTGGTTGCGCTATCACGTATCAATGCCTCCTTCATGTTTTCCAGTTTCAGTGTCTTATTCTTCTTCTTCAAACTCTTCTAAGTTCTGCCATTATATTCGGAGAGCATCCTATGAAGGTAAAATTTACAATCTTATCACTGTCTTCTCTAATACCCAATTGGGGCATTGTGCAGTTCTTCAAATCAACACTCCTACCCACCAGTGATGTTAAATTTTTGTTTTTTCTTTCTATATCGCGTAGTATAGATTTGGACTTCGAGCTTCCGAGCTTACTTATGTAACTTCTATATTGAGGGGAAAAAATTATTTTATTCAGAGGGCGCTACGAACTACAAGTCTTTTATATAATGTTTTTCTATCGTGCAGGTCTTCCTAATGAGGTGGTTGAGGACTCCAAATTCGTTCCTTTGAATGCAGAGGATCCTATATATGGTCCACCTGTAAGTCATGGTTAGTTTTGAATAACATGTTTTCAATCACTTATTATAACTTTTCACGTCACTGCCACGATAAAATAATTTTGAACATACACACTCATAAAAAATGCCTATTAACGAACTTTTCATTGAAATCAAAAGTTATCTTCTAGTGTCTCTGATAAGCCTTGATTCCTATTTATTTGGCTTTGGCTTAGAAAATTTTAATCGAGTGAGTTTTGTGTATGTTCTTTTCACTCTATCTTGACTTGGGTCAGAACTTTGTAATCTGACTCTGACTTTATATTTAGTCAAACCCACGTTTCTTTTGTTCTGCAGGCCTTATTGTTGTTGGGCTTTGAAGCAGATGAAGCTTTGAAGGTAGATTCATGTCTTGAAATATATACGATGCCTTCTGTTTCTTTTACTTTCTATCTCTTTACTTAAGTGGCCATTCAGTGTACTTGAATTTCTAATCAACCTTTGCTCTGGTTATTGTTTGTGCTTTCAATTTGATGATCCAAAATATCATCGATGAGTATCTTTTATTGATATTGTTGCCACTGTTGAAAATCCTGTATATACCTTGTAATGTATCATTAATTTATCAGCTGTCAGTAAATTACTATAGTAACATAGCCAATCAGCTTACGATGATTATACAGTCATATGTTACTTTAGATNTTTGGCTTAGAAAATTTTAATCGAGTGAGTTTTGTGTATGTTCTTTTCACTCTATCTTGACTTGGGTCAGAACTTTGTAATCTGACTCTGACTTTATATTTAGTCAAACCCACGTTTCTTTTGTTCTGCAGGCCTTATTGTTGTTGGGCTTTGAAGCAGATGAAGCTTTGAAGGTAGATTCATGTCTTGAAATATATACGATGCCTTCTGTTTCTTTTACTTTCTATCTCTTTACTTAAGTGGCCATTCAGTGTACTTGAATTTCTAATCAACCTTTGCTCTGGTTATTGTTTGTGCTTTCAATTTGATGATCCAAAATATCATCGATGAGTATCTTTTATTGATATTGTTGCCACTGTTGAAAATCCTGTATATACCTTGTAATGTATCATTAATTTATCAGCTGTCAGTAAATTACTATAGTAACATAGCCAATCAGCTTACGATGATTATACAGTCATATGTTACTTTAGATATATTTGCATTAATGTCATTTAATAGTATAATGTCCATCTTGATATTGAGCAGATCCAACAGCTTTTAAAAGAGTTAGATGGTGAATTCCTCAAGGTAACATCTCATTTCTTCTCTTTCATGGCCATTTTTTTTTAAACCAAAATCAATGGGGTAAATATTCTGGAAGAAAATGAAGAGGGGAAGGGGGCGGGGTTGATTATTTTATTATTGTTTCCACCAGACTATCCTGCTGTAGACTAAAAGATCATTCTTTCTAATGAGTAATTTCTTGACACAACAAATCTACAAAATGGACGGATAATATAACTGGCTGCTCTTGTAAAAGTCAAATAGTTTTCAGCCTTTTGTTGATGGGAATGTTGTGGATCAATATTTAGTAAAAGATGAATTTTTGATAAACAAAGGACCATTTTGATCAGAAGGCAAAATTTTCATACATATGCAGAATAACTAGCTTGTGCTCGACCTGATACCGAATAGTTTTATAATTTTATTCTTTTGTTACATCCGAGTAAGCAACATGGGAATATGTCATTTGAGATTGAAAAGTATTTTGTAATGGGTAGAAACCTGGCCCCAAGAGAGGTCTGATTAAAACACCTACTTAAATGGCCAAATATTGTTTCAAAGTCATAACTATATAATCCATGCTGTGCCTCTTTTACCTACAAGGTGCATTCGTAGCTATCTCAAGAAGAATTGAAAAAATAAATAGGGAGTATAATGTGTTGCATTGCAGGTCATCTATTGCACAGAAGACATGATTACAAGTTCACTTTGGGAGGCAATGCATACAACACAACAGAGTCTGGAAGAGGTCAAGGTATAAATATTTATGTATTACTTTCATCTAACATCTTTCTGTGCACTCGTCGAGAATTTGAACTCATAAAGTGATAATAAGTAACAAGAAAAAGTTTTTCCTTTGTTATCGCTGCCTACCATTTCATACATATTCATTATGTATTTGCAGTTTGTCATGTAGACTTTATTGTATCAAAACTGGAGAACTCACCACCTCTAATTTTGTGAGCATAAGAATCTTGAACCTTGCAGCTCTATATATGTTAATAAACATGCTTCTAATTCACTAAGGAACTTTCACCTGGACAAAATACTTTTTACTGAAGGATTAAGGTGGCACATATTGATATTTCATTCGGTCATGGCAATCCTTAATTTATGAATTACATTGAAATCTCTTCATGTTCAGTATTTTGTACCCTGCAGATAGCCAAGTCACTTCCCCGGATATGTTTCTTGTCTGGTTTAAGCGGAGAGGAGATGATGATGTTCATAGATTCTTTTCCGGAAACTGGTAACAAAAATATGATCACACCCTCAATTGTTCCTTAGCGTTTGTTGAAGATGAAATCTTTCTTTCTGAACATCCTCGGCAGATTTTTCACACGTTCACTATGGTTTTGAAATGTTTGTTATGCAGGACTAAAACCAGCTGCATTTGCTGCACTTGTTCCTAACAGTGCTAATAAACCCCTGCAGGAATTGATAGAAGAAGTAAAGGGGGACCATGAGACGTTGGTATGTATTTTTTTTTCGGAACAATTCTTTATCATTTTCAATGAGCTTATGATCAACAGGAACAAATATTTTATGACTGCAGACTGGAGAAGAGTTATGAAAATCTGAATTCCCATTTAATCCAAGGAAGCAATGGGAAAAGCAACCTGTTCTGATAAATCTACACTAATAAATCTCAATCACGATAGGAATTTAAGTGTAGAAAATTTGTTATTGTTCCCAACTGTTTTACATAGTACTTAATTGGATATTCTGTCGTTAGTAGTAACTTCTGGAAAATATGGATGGAATCTTATTCTGTGGTAAATTGTATATTCTAAAACTCATAAATTTGTACTGAAAGTTGAGCCTTAAGGCAGAACAAAATTTTAAGCAATTTTTGGATGACGTTTGACCAATAAGAGTTGTAAAAGTATTTAGTCGTGTTAAGAGAATATTCTGAACTTGTAAAAATTAAATGTTTCTCATCCACAAAATTCAATCGGGAAACTTTGCTCAAGAAGATATCATTCAATATTTGAACCAACAATTTCTCGAATCTGAAATAAAGAGAGTTAACTTTCACAACACAACATAGGCAACTTCTTCCTGCACCTTCATATTCCCCATCTACACCCTTCAGAAATTAGTCATTGGTGGGTGTTGTAGTGGTTTTATTGTGTTGTGACCAATCAGAGTCTGAGCTTGTAATGCTTAGTGATGGTTGCTAGTGATTTGTGGGTGGCTGGTGGAAGGTGCTCTTGCATTGCATGTTCGGTGAATCTTTGTTTTTCATTTTCTGTTCCAGATTGAAATATTCAATCTAAAATGTATAATTAGAAATATAAATTAAACGTTCCAGAATACATGTATAAGACGACCATGAAGATTTTGGCTTTATTTATTGGCAGCGATCATAGGAGTTAAAATGAATTTTGAAGGTTCTCCACTTCCCACATTGATAGTTCATTTTCTAGGTTTTGTAAAATATTTTAGCACTTTATTTACTTGGGCCCAATTCAATGATAAATAATGTCTTCATCGCAACAAATAATAGAGTTGTTCACATTTCATTAAATTTACTGTAAAATAAAACTGGCAGACTAAATTTATTAAAAAATATGCATTCACATTTATTAAAAAATAGCACAGCAACTTTCGCAAGCACAAACTATTAATGAACAAATTCAAGGACATTGAACGTGATGTCCTACAATTCATTTTGCATAATTGAATTGAAACACCAGTGTCAAAATTTGCTGAAACAAGCTAATGCGAAACACCAAGCAAATCTCAGCATCATTAAGGAATGATCTGTAAAATTGCATTAAATTGACGCAATCTACATTAACTCCTGTTAGAAAAACAAAGCTCCACTACAATATACAACGAGCAAGAGGGCAAAGCATGAGGTGAAATAATTGCAAGGGCGGTAAATGGACGGCAACTTAATCCTGCTATGCTCTGCAACGTCAATGTTCAATAGTTTGAAGGATTATACATATTCATCTATACCGTATTGAAAATTATATGACGACACGCTGTACGCCAGTGCATCAATGAAATTTGATAATAGTGAGGAATGTTTTCTCTTTACCATCAAAGAGGTTCAAGGGAACCACTTTTCAATCTTTCCATCCGCGCTTGAAGGCCAGACAGTGCCTTCTCATCCATAGGAAGTACCCCACCGTGCAAAGTATTTTCCGTACCAACATGCTCTACCGTGTGAGGAATCTGACTAGGAGGAACTCCATGATTCAAGTTGTCATTTGCACTCGTCAAGTGCCTACCACCAGATTCTGTACTCCCAGCAGCAGCTGCTAATTGCATACTCTTCATCCTCTCTCTGATTGCATCCAACGTACCACTGGTTACTGCAGTTCATATGTAACTTCTCTTAGTCAATATCATTTCTTCAATGTAAAAATTGGTGCAAAACAAGTAAAATTATGTTAAAGTAAAATTATGTTAAAATACCTCCTGTCATAAATCTATCATTTCTTTGGTCACCTAATGTATAGTCAGAATTTAATGCTCTAGACGTAATGGCATTCACAGGCCTATTCTCCTCACTGTATGATGGGGGTAAATTAAAATTTGTTGGGTCAGGTTTCACATTTAATTTAGCATCACCCAATGGATTTGCATTTACAGGTGAGAGAGGTGCAAAATCAGGGGAAGATATGTTTAAAGATGCTGGTGGAGGAGTAGGCATAGGTAAACTCGAGGGAGTTCTTCCAGCTGCAGCATTCTTTTCCATCTGCCAAAACGTTAAATTCAATTGCCAATCGTCAAATACTCCGAATTTCTCATAGAAATACAAAATGAAGCTCAATTAACATGTGAATAAAAAGTAAATAATCTCAACCTGAGCAAGACCATCTCTAATGTAAGTTCGAAAGGCCTCACTAGCATTTTGAAGCTGAGCAAATATGTCAACCTAAGATAAAGCACAAGAACCTTAATCAAATACGCAAAAATCGTATAGGCTGAACATTTACTTAAATCCATCACATTACATCCTATCTGAAAATTATTATTATTATCATCCATTTTCACTCTAAACCAGAAAAATATATCGCTATTTCTGTTATCTTTACTCTTAATCAAAATACCCTTAACTCTTACCTTAGGGTACAATTGGGTAATCCGATATAGCTCATATAGACCAATTGTGCAAGTTTGCTTCTCCCCGATCTTCTTAAATATAGCAGCCAACTCTTGCTGCAATTTTATTTGACAAACAGAGTCAACGTGAAATATAGGCTTTTAAGTTAAATTGCAGCAAAATAGGATATTAGAACATGACAACACAAGAAAAAACAGTATAAATTATAAAATTTTGAAGACAAACAGAGTCAACTGTGAAATATAGGCTTTTAAGTTAAGTAGCAGCAAAATAGGATATTAGAACATGACAACACAAGAAAAAACAGAATAAATTAGAAACACTTAGATATATCCGTTACTGCCAGGATTGCAAGTTAAATTTTAGGATAATAAGTACAAGTTGAGAATCATCTGTGCTGCCTCACCAACGGAATATATGGCAAGTGGGAGTTAAATAGAAGTAATGGTATTATCGATCCCTTGTGAGGCAAGCAGACAGATTCACACAGATCATTCTTGCCTTATCACCCAATTTTTTAAAAACACCTCACATTTCTCTTCTCCTTCAAGAACAATTACATCTGTTGCTCCATGTCCTACTTATTAATATATTGTATTATAATGTATTTGCGTTTTATAACTTCAAATAACAATTCTAGGTAGAATTTCAAGTTTACAACATTGGATGAAGTTATAGTACACAAGATACCGAGAAATAAAGCATAACTATACCTTTAACTGGGCATCAGCAGAATGGGTCCCAGAGGCTGAATTATTGGTTGCTGAATCTCCCCAATGGTTTTGTCCCCCAGGTCCAGATGCAGTCAACATTCTTGCCGCAGCCAAAGTCTAAAAGTAAAAGGTAGTAGAAATAGAGTATAAATGGGTCTACTTCAACAATAAATCAGATTAATTTGTTTCAGTTCATACCTCAAGATTAAGTTCAATGTATGCAAGGATGATGGGTTGAGGTTTTGCATCAATAGGAACCATTGAAAGATGACCCTTTATCGCTGCACCACGAAGCTTGACAAGTTCATGCAGAACAGTTTTTACCATTCGTAAAGGTTTGTCATCAGCACCAGCCCTGTACAAAAGTAACATTAGCAAATAGAAATGATTCAAGAATTATTTTATAAGAAAAAAATAACAACTTAACCAATCAATCAATACCTTCTTCTAATTTCTTCCATTCCCAAGTCTTGCAGGTACAAATGGATACTTTGAAGAATGCGATCAAGGTCAACATCATATATAGTACTCTGAAGGACCTGCAGCACAAACAAAATACATGTTAATGCTGAACCAAAAAACTTAAATTAATAACTATTCAAGACAAATTATATAAGTTCAAAGAGCGTAAATAAATATCAATAGAATCACATGGAAGAACAATAGATTGGTTAATGGATTTGTTAATGATTGAATATTCAATATATATTAACTACATATTTGGGCCCATTATATAATCATCCAAAAACTAATACTGTTAAATCATCAACCAAATAAAATATTATAACAATTATATGGGGAATGGTGAATGGTAAAATTTAGGGTCAAAATTTCTTCACAAGGTTATCATATTAAAAAGCATAGTAGCCAATCTTAGATATGCTATCACCACAAATTGCGTAGTAGTCTCTATTAGAAACATAAGTAAAAGTTTAAAGTCAAAAGTACTTTAAATTCCTATTCATCATTGATTCATGCTACCTGTGGAAGTTTAAATAAAAAAGGAAATATAATAACCTTATATAGACCCTAGAGTAAATAACAAATTGCTCGGTCCAGAAACCTTGCCTAATAAGTTATGTTACATTAGCCTATTTATCTTCATAAAACCAAAATAGTTTGTTTTATGTTCATATCCTTTACCATTTTGCCGATGGCTGCACATGTTACCTTTGTAAGCTTGATAAGGCATTTTACAACTAGATCAGAAAACTTCTGATTTCTGGAAGCAAGTGACTCGTTTGATGCTGGTGAAGGCCATCTGGATGGATCTAACGGCCGTAAAAGATTGATTAAGACAACAAAGGAAGAAGTACGATCTGCATTATCCTGTTTTGACAATAACTAGTTACTAAAAGACCTGCACTATAATACATCAGCATAATATGCCTCCCATTGCAGATCAACAGATGGGGGGAGATAAAGTTCCTAACCAGAATCTTAAGCATCAACACATTCAATGCTTTCAACAATTGACTTCCATCTTCCATATGAGGAACCCTGTCATCCAAGAGCCACAGAAGCAGCTCAGTAATGAGACTGTCAAGAGTGCTCTCATTTACAGCATGTGCTAATCTTTTATTCTGAAAAGTCTGTATTTCCCAAAACAAATTAGCAATCACAAATAGCTATATTAAAAGACATCAGATGATACAAATTATAACGCCAAAATAAAAAAAGTACCTGCATGAGAGTGTTAAGCACATATTTACAAGATCGTGACGAAGCCCCAGTCAAATTGAAGTCAAAGGTTCTTGCAACCTATTTAAAATAATAAGAAAATATAAAAAACATGAAAATCATTCCCTGAATGAGAAAAGTAGTCTGGAAAGTTATCTCACCTTATTTGCAAGGCATGAAACTAATCTATCTGCATCTTTCACAAGTTCATCCATAACAATACCTTCTGGGTCATTAGAGACCTGACCTAACTCATAACAAATAACTTTCATTCCATCAACAGACTGCAACAAGAAAATAAAAAATCAGAGCTCAACCTTCAATTTCAAAAGAGTAGAAAGCGAAAGGTGTATCTCAAAAGATGTGTGTATATATATGTATGTATGTATAGCATATTATTTAGTTTATTTCACCTGTTCAGGAGATCCAAAAGAAATTATATCAAGTGCTTCATTCCAATCTGGGGGTCCACTAGCAACAGCAGAAGAACGGGAAATCAATTGTCTCTCTATGTTACTATCAGGTTGACCATAATTTTTCCTGAAATCAACATGAGTGA